TTTTTTTTTTTTTTTCTCAAGAAGGGTTGGGAAGTAGTCTCCGCGTCACTGCATCCTCGAGGATTATTGTGACATACCCACTTCAGTTCCATAGACGAGTAGCAGTTAAGAATGCCAGTATGTCCTTTGGAGAGATGTTGCCTACTTCCGTTATAAGCGGATAGGCAATGGATAGGTAGCGAAGTCTGAGTCTTGCAAGACTATCACAGTGACACAATATGTGTTCTGCTGTTTCCTCTTCTTCGTAACAAAGTCTACAGCTATCGTCTCCAGTAATACCTAGATTCAATAAATGTTTTTTACTCCGCAGTGTCCAGTTAGAAAACCTGTGACAAGTCGGATGCCACTTCTGTTCAGCATAAGTAGCTCCCTAGTTCTGGCTTTTGATCGAAACGGCATGGATTCTTTTGCTTGTCTGCAGTTAATTGTATTATCCCAATCATTCTGAGCTGCTCTTTCCAGCCATTCATTAGTTTTAAGTTTGAAAAAGCTCCACGAAGGACCGCAGAATGGTTGTGGCCCAATATAGTATAAGGCCGCCCCTTTTCTCGCTAGTTCATCTGCTTTTTCGTTTCCTCTGTTCCTTTCAGCAAGGTCTTTGAGAAGTAGAAGGCATTCCCACACTATTTTTGAGGTTACTCGAGGTGAGCGTAGTGCCAGGAGTGCCGATTTACTGTCAGAAAAGATATATATGTTTTTTCCCGTGACGGGTTTACCTTTATATACCCTGAGACATAATTCAATTGCGTGTACTTCAGCCTGAAAAACTGAGTTTTCTTTACTCATACTCGCAAATATTTCCTCTTTAGTTTTTGCTGACTGTTTGTATTGTTTCAAACACTGATGGGACGTGGAGATCGCGCTGTAAAGTGCTATTTGGAATATACCATGGAGCAGCCGCACATAAACGAAGTATTTTTGATTCAAATCTTTGCAATACCGCTATATTAGATTTTGCAGCTGTTCCCCAGATCGAGACACCGTAGGTCCATATTGGTTTTAAAATAACTTTATATAAAAGTACTTTATTGTTCAGTGATAGTTTTGAATTTTGGCAAAGAAGCCAGTGCATGGAGCGCATTTTTAAACCCAGTTGCTTGCGTTTCGTAAATATATGATGTTTCCAGGTGAGACGCCGATCAAGATGAACACCTAGATACTTCACGTGATCGGATTGTGGTAGTACGTTATTATTTAGTGTGACTGGTGGACAGTAACCATTGCGAAGAGTGAATGTGATTTGTGCAGATTTGGATTCATTAGCTTTAATGCGCCATTTGTTTAGCCACACTTGGATGCTATCTAGGTTTGTTTGCAACTGACTAGAAGCGACTGTTGGGTCTTTGCTTTTAGCCATGATCACTGTGTCATCGGCAAAAGTTACGGTATATGTTGATGGGTTAAGTGGTAAGTCAGCTGTGAACAGTGTGTAGAGGGTTGGACCTAGTACACTCTCTTGTGGAACTCCAGCTTTTAACGGGAAGATTTTCGTATTATAGTCTTCTATTTTAACCATGAAATATCGGTTATTGATATAAGACTTAAGTAACAAATAGAAGCTGTGTGGTAAATGTAATTTCAATTTGTAGAGCAGTCCGGTGTGCCATACCTTGTCAAATGCTTGCGTTATATCGATAAATGCTGCAGTGCAGTATTCTTTTCTTTCCAGTCCATCTCTTGCATATTGATAAACACGATTTACCTGTTCAATGGTTGAGTGGCGGTTTCGAAAGCCGAATTGGTAAGCAGGAATTAGTAAGCGACTTTGGGTGATCTGGTTAAGACACTTTAAGAGTATTTTTTCGAAGACTTTGGAGAGCACCGGAAGTAAGCTTATAGGTCGATAAGATGTAACTAACTCTAAAGGTTTACCTGGTTTTGGTATCAGGATAATTTGAGCTACTTTCCATTGACTTGGATAGTATTCTTGACATATAATAGCATTAAAAAGTTGGTT